GAATCTCGCACAGGAATGAAGGTGCTGCTTTCCTGCGCCCCGAGGGCTGATTCCAGGAACAGGAGCAAGTGTCAGACTAGAGACGTGGTGTGAAATGGGAGTTACACGTGGTCGATGCAGGTGAGTTCAACCCAAAGTGGAATGGAAACGCGTCGTAAAACCCTCCAGAGGAGCTGAAGCCTCCCTGTCCGCGCGGTTGCGTGAGGTCGGGACGGTGCTGGATGCCCTTCCAGGGCATTTCTCACTGCATGAGGCTGCCCTGTCAGCCTCTGCTTCCAGATCCTCAGCCCTGGGGTTCAAACCCCACCACCCCCTGAGCCAGGAGAGCTCAGCCCGTGGGCAGCCACACCACGGGCCGTCCCACACACGCCATGGCTGTGCGTGACTGGCCAAGCCAACCTGGACAGCAGCCGCTCTCATCCTGCTCAGACACGCGGCCACGGGACCCCCAGGCCCCACGTGCCATCACCCAGGGGCAGGTGGAGATCCCTGGCCAGCGGTGACCTTCGGGAGACGGTAGAACCCACCTTCCCCACAGGCACAAGTGCTTCTGAAGCCAAACCTGAATTTTAAGGAAAGAGGTGACCATGTACGAATGGCTGCTTCAGAACAGCCTCAAGCCTTCACTGCTGTAAAGATCAACACAAAACCACGGCAGCATCAGCATCTATGACTTGGAAGATCTCTCTCTGGAGTGTTCCTTGGTACTGTGCCACATCCTTGCATCTAGACAACATGATACACATGGACAGGAATTTCTATGCATGAAAAGGCGAAATAAGGCCTGCTTTAGAGCAAAGAGAGAAGAGGGATGTTGCTCTTCCCCAGATCACTTTAAATAGGGCCTGCAATAACCTACATTCAGTTTTAGAAAAATTTACATCCCTGACGGAGCCATGACTTCAGCAGCAACCAGGGCTGGCTTTATACTCAAACATACATGTTGTTTCCTGGACCCACACCCTGCAACCTTCTCCTCTGCAAGAAGTTCATATACTACTGGAAATCTGAGATATGGATAAACAGAGATGCAGAGCATCAGCAAAGGGCAGCTTCCCACACGGCTTCGTTACAGAACCTACACAGCCACAGAACAGCGACTGCACCTTCCCAGTCTGGCACGGCCACGCTGCGCACATCTTGCCCAGTGTGTGCCTTGCACTCAACAAGAACTACAGCTCGTCCTTACAAGTCAGGACATTTTGTTTGAGGACACCCTCAGTCGAGTCCTCTTGAGCCAGAAAACACACCCCATCCTGGCAGCCCAGCAGGGAAGAGCAGGATCTCATCCGCTGCAAGGTGAGGGCACTGCCAGCACGGCTCCGCTGCCCGCTCTGCCGCAGCACGAGGAGGGACAGGCAGCACACGCAGCAGATGGTGCTGGAGCTGGCAGCAGCTTCCACCAGGAGTTATGGGGAATACACAGAAAAAGAGCTAGACTGCATACCATGGGATTGCAGAGGTCCGACTGCTTTTAACGTTAGTACCGGAACACTCGGCACCAGGACCTCCCATTCCCTCTTTGTCCAAACGGGAGCTCTAATGACCATTCTCACGCCCCAGACACAAAGGTTCTGAACTGGTGTTCAGCTAAAACACCACTTGGGACACGGCTTCAAATGTCCTTCAGTCCAGGCACACAACACAGGAGCAAAACCACCTCAAAAAGCCATACACTAGCTTCCAGCTTAAACACTTCTTCAGTGAAGAATGACCTGAAAATAAAATGTCATTCGATAAAAATAACCTTTCACAAATGTCCCATGGTAAAATGCACAGAAAACCGGGTTCTGTCTATTAAAAGACACCAAGCCAAGCTAGCACGAGCTGCCAGAATTACATTCTTGCCAGAAGAGTTGTTACAAGAGAAGAGCCAACACAGTGCAAGACCTTAATACAGATAAAACCTTAAACAAATACTTCAACATCAACATTTCGGGGAGTAATTTAAGCACTACAATGTGAAGCAAGGCTTATCTGCTCCGCTGGATATAATAAAAAATAATCCAAGAATAATCCAAGTCATACATTTAAGAAGCAAGTAATGCAATCTTTGCTTCTTGTTGCTGCTGCAATAAATGAGACTGAAACAATGCCCGGGAGAAGAAATGCATCCAGAGGATGGTCATGTTCAGGTTTTAAAACACAGTCCAGGGCCCAGAGTCCAGCACACTGTAAAAACACGCAGGCTACTGGCATTGTTCTGGGCTGCACGGAGGCAAGTCCTGCAGAACATCATCGGGACAGAGCGAGGGTTACCCCACGGGTGGGCTCACCATCCCACACCGCCCGGAGCTCTGTGGGACCCCCAGCTCAGCCCCACACACGTGCTGCCTTTTCTCCAAGGTGTTAGCTACCCTCAAAACACCCTTCTCTCCAAAGCCTTCTGCAGATGTGTGGTAAGCTGAGTATAGAAAGTGATAACGGAGCAGCAACATACCCAGCAGACCTGGGACAATGCTTCTTGCAGGGTCACCAGCACGTCAGCTCGAGAGAGGAGGTGGAAGACACGAGCTCAGAGTAACTACTTCTTTGAGGGCTGTTTGTTGCAGTGACAGGAAAGATGTACAAACATGTCTGCCCACAAGCTAAGCCTGGAGAAGCTTTGCCAAACAAGACTGTGTGACAGGTGAAGACCTCATTCAGAAGACAAGCGTGCCCAGCACACTGCCCAGCTGCTGCACGTCATGAGCTACACGACAGATTGCTGCTGTACCTAAAGGAAATGCAGCACATTAATAAAAACTCATGAAATTAAAAAAATACTACACCACATGTATATAAAAGGACTTGAGGAATCCACCTTTTAAGGGGAAACAAAGAACTTGAGGATCTCCCCTTGAAGAAGGGCATGTAAACAAAGACATCACTAGATGTAGTGTTTTAACCCTGATAGAGACTGTCACCCACACAAGCACGGGGATCATTTCGCCAAGAGACACGTGGCAGCAGAGCGGCCAGGGAAGGGGAGCAGCGCGCTGGGGGGAGGATGCAGCAGCGCTCTGGAGAACGGGAAACACTGCTCCGCGGTATCTGGGTACAGCCCCCCAACCTGCACGGAGAGGCTTGTTCACAGCACGCTCAGAGAAGGCAGAGAAGACAAGACAACACTTGGCTTATCTAAACATCACTCCTATGGATAAGGGATGCCATAGTCACACCACTACGATGAAGCATCTGAGCACATTAGGAAATGCTTCTCCTCGGGGGTTTGGACAGGGCTCCGACAGCATCGCTGCCACTCGGGCGCAGGGAGGCAGCTCTCACGGCACTGCAGCCATCTCCCACCCAGCACTTCCACAGGTATGAGCTGGCAACCAGCTGCTGCTTAGCATAGTGTTTCAGAAGAGAGAAAGGAATTAAACAGGACAGGGTAGAGGTCGCCTTAGGTATGGACAAAGTAAAACTCATCATAGACACAGCAACAAAAAAATCAGGTTACATTTCATAAAAACCCAACAACTTTCTGCTGTTGGAATGCAAAATGAAGTTACAGACACACGTACGCACGAACACACAGGTACCTTTCTGTCCATCCACTAATGCTAGTCCCTCCTATACTGGCTGAGCATATACCTGAGAAACAACATCAGAGTTGAAATATTGCCCTTTAGAAAGCTTGAAAAATGGAGGGGAGCAGGGAGAGAGGGTTGAGAGAGAGCAGAGAAGCGGCAGTCTCTCCTTTCCAGTTTCCTTCGCACCCTCCACAGCTGAGAACAAGGCCATACACCAGCGTGGACACAGCCTGCTTGGAACAAGACCAAAGGAATATCAGTTCACAGCTCTACAAAGCCCACTAGTGTCAATACAACCGGGTTTCAGATTTCAAATCTTGAATCTGAAGAAAGTTGTTGCATTTTCTATAAAGAGACTCCTGTACAAGTGCTATGGGACAGCTGCATTCATGTTCAACAACGACTCCAGCTAGACTACTTGCATCAGTGCTGGCTGCCTGTGGCTATTTGGTTTGATGGCAGAATCAAAAGGCGCTTTAACAACTTGCAGTTAACTTCTCCTCAAAACAGACATTAGGCACATGAACAAAAAAAAAAAACCAAAAACAAGAGCTCAGAATAAATTAGCTTCTCAGCAGAAGAAAAGACACCTGGATTGCAGCATTTCACTGAGGTTCCAGAGAAGGCCGTACAGACACCTGCATGCTGGAAGGTAATTTTTTCAGTGGCTTGTCAGCAGACTGCTTGCCACTGGAAGGAGGAGACTGGACTCTGGGATCTAGCTGGGAAGACTTGGACTTGCGACTGGATAGCAGGGAATGTTTGTTGGATGCGGCATCTTTTGGGACAAGTTTTTCTTTTGCAGTAACGTTGGCATTGGTTTGAGAGGCTGGAGAGACAACACCTTTCTCCGATTTGTCTTCCAGCACAGTTTTACTGCCTGACTTGGAACTGCCACTTGCTGTCTTTTTTGCAAGCATTGTTGTCTTTCCCAGGTCTGCTGACCTCCGGGTCTCCTTCTGCCTCAAGGCTGATTTAAAGAAAGACAATCCCTTCTCTTCTGACTTGCTGTCCCTCTTCAAACCAGAACGCACACCGACATTTGGAGACCGCAGGTTGGCCATAGAAGAACTCCGCACGTGCTTGCTGTCCACTGCCCTGCTGTCACTCCTGGAGTGGCTTATCCGTGGGGAGCTCGTTCTTGAACTGCTGGTAATGCTCGTTTTATCCGACCCCAGACTTATCTTGGAGCCCTCTCTGCTGAGGCTTCGGTCTGAAGTCCGGCTCTTCCCAGAAGAAGAGCCTTTAGTCAATGAGCCTGATGGGGTTTTCTTGGCAGCAGTGGAGGATGGAGAAGAACCTGACTTTTGCTTCTGTTGAGCTGATGGGACAGCCACCTCAAGTGGCTTCGTGCTATGGTCCTTCCTAGCCTGAGTTGGAGCAGGAGACCCATGTCGCCCACTGGCTCTAGAGGAGTCGGTTTTACTTCTAGACCGGGAAACTTTCTGGGAACTCTTCAGTGGAGGAGGAGAAGAGTGAGAGACTTTGGTCTCTTGGGTAGATAAGACTGTCCTTCCCTTCCTCAAACTTTTGTCTGGCTCAGAAACTCCCTTGGAGCTGTGAACCTTCTTAGGGGTGCCACCTGCCTTCTCTGCAGCCAGCCCCGTCCCACAGGGGGCTTTCACCTCCTTGACCGGAGAGCTATCCACAGAATCACTCTGATCAACAAAGGCAATTTGATTGTTGTTATCAAAAGGGTCCAAAGCAGGGTGATTCCTGTCTAGCTGCACAGAGCTTTTACCATACTCATCTGAAAGATCTGAGCTAGATGTCCTTACAACAGACTCTTCCCTGAATGCCCCCTCCATGACAGCCAAAGGAGCTCTGCGAGCCGTCCTGTGCTCTCGCCGACTGCCATCGCAGGGCTCCAAGTAGCTACTGGAGAGATTCCTCAGGCTGCCGAAGCAAGAGGTGGAGACTTTATCATCAGCAGCCTCCCCGATCTTCTCCAGGGTGGAAGCAGAGGTATGTACAGGGGAATCTCCAGAGAAGCGGGATGGAGAGTTGGAGCGCAGCTGCAGTTTTGCTGAGAGCAACCACGAGGGCCTGACACCATTTTCACTCACTGCCAGTGGGCTGGTGACAGAAGATCTAGATGACAAGCTCTGACGCTGGACACTCCTTACAAAAGGGCGAGTTGAAAATCCTCCTGCAGAGAAAGAAAGTGACATCCTCAGAATGAAAGCCAAGCCTGCCGTTGGTTTATCCCATCCATCCACAGACACCATTTCCCCAAGAGAGTCAGACAGCTACACCAGACTGCATGCCTGTCTCTTCATGCCTGCTGCAGGCAGTTTCTTGCATAAAAGCTGAGTAAGGAATTCAACAACTGTAACTTGCTAGAGATCACTGAGAAGCAACTCTCTGAAGCTTATAACTAAAAAAATCCAGATTTTCTTCTCATCCCTGAGCAGCAGGAGACCAAACACAGGTTTTGCACCTTGGAAGTCCCTAAAACTAGCAAAGAGTTCACCAACTATGGCTGTGCTCCCAGAAATAAATTCTTCTCTATCAAAGAATATTTTTCCCATACCACCCTGTAAAAGGCAAAGTAGGACTCCTACCTGAGCAATATATTTGTATTTACAAACAAAGTACAATGATAAGCATTTTAGAAATGTGACTACCACAGATAGATCTTAGAGTTCTCAACACTGCTGCAGGGACACCTCTCTGCCTGCTTCAAAATGCTCATACTGTCCCCTGAATCTCCACATTTTCAACAGTTATAAGGTACTAGGAGCCAGGCAAAGCCAGGAACTGAACAGTTTGCACACACAAGTGAATTTGTGTATCTTCTCAGCTCCCTGGGAGCAGTCATCGACAGCAGGGCAGCGGGCAATTAGTACCTGTGCTGAGCTGTAGTGATACATCAGCCTCCCTGCAAAGGTGCTGTAGTGAAACGTGGAAAAAACATCAATGCAAAAAGTTCTTGTTGAGAGGTTTCACTGATGGTATTTCCTTTCTTTGAAAGGCTCCTTAAGGCTCCTGCCCTTCTCTTCTCCATCCTTTCACACCAGGGAAAAGCTCACCTGTGCCAGAACCCATCTGCTCCTATCGACAGAGTGCTGCCTCCCCCAGCTGCTAGAGTAACTGGCCCTTGAAACTACATATTTTGCAGCTCTTTTAGTAGGGACTTTGTAACAGAACGAGTAGTGGCCCAGCATCCCCCCGGCACTGCGGTGTTGATACACACCATCATCTTCACTCCTTTCCCCCGTCAGCTCTACCGATTCCGAGAGCGAAGCCAGAGACGTGCGCCGCGATGATGCTGCTGAAGCGATGCTGGGCTGCTTGCTACCAGGCAGGCGGCTGACCCAGTGCTCACAGAGCGAGGAGCTTGTGGAGCCTGCAAGGAATCAGGCACAGACATCAGGTCAGTAGCGTGCTGCTGCAGAACACATGAAACCCTGGAAGGCCACTGAGAGTCAGGTACACACTGCAGTACACAGCTTCAAGAGACAGCCAGGGTCTGGAGCTTCCCACACAGCCACAGCAGCCAGACACGGCCGAGAGAATAAGTCTTCACTCTTATGAAATAGTCATAATCGTAAGTGAAAGACAGAATTGCACTTGTCCCAGTATGCTGCGAATCAAAGGAATCAGTGCAACAGCACACAGGCAGAGGGCAGCCCTTGAGCTGCCACAAAAATGCAATTCCTTTCCTTTCCAAAGGCAAGACACCAAGGCTGCATCTGCCCCAGTTCACGCCAGACTCAGCTAACACACTGAGCTGCTGGCTGCCCACCCGAGACCAACGGCACTGCTGGAGGGAAGGAACTCACAAGTTTTGACAGGGGTAGCTCTGAGCAGAATTACCCATGGGGTGGAGGGGGGTTTCCCCATCTCCACAGCCTCTTTCCAACAACTGGCCTTAACAGAAGAGGTGGGAGATTCCCACGGCCTCTGATGCACAGACTGAGACAAGCCCCACTGAGCTCTGGGACAGAGAGCAGGGGCTTAAGCAAAGCTGGACAGGAAATTCTTCAGAAGGAGAAACTACACATGAAAGACAAACTATAACCACTCCTTGAGAATGCCAGCAGGACTTACCTGCCACAGAGCTGTTAGCAGACCATGACGGGATCGCTGTGCGTCTCTGGTAGAAAAGAATGTAAGCTGTCTGCTTGCAGACTTCGTTTTCAGAAAGTTGCTGCACATCACTGTCATCAAAGCAGTACCACTGGCCATCAACCGAGTTTTTGCAATATGCTGAGAGAAAACACATTACTATTAGACTTCCTCGCTCCTACTATTCTCAGGTTTGCTGTATCATAACTTAAACATGAACTTATCTGCTCTGATGGACTCTGAGGAGAATGAAAGGAACAGGTTTATTAATGCAACACATCCTCTTCCAGTCTGACTGGCAAGACAGGGGCCTGAGACCACCAGAATACAACAGTCAGCCCACAGTTCAGGATTTTCCTTGTCCAGCATTACTGCTCAGAACAGAACACCATCTGGGGCGGCTCCGTTCACCTCATGTTCTGTTATTTGTAGCAGTCTGCTCCATTAGCAAGTCTCCTTCTGACTGAGCCCACCCAGGACAACAGAGCCCGGAGATGTACATCCGAGGGCAAAACCAGACACACATTTTCTGGACTGCTGTGTGATGTTACACAGATCCTAAGAACCACCAAGCAACTTTGTCTGTATCTGGGGGTTTTGGGAACTGCTGGAACAAGCAAAGAGGAGTTTGTAAACTGGCTTTGGGCAGAGGTAATAGGCAAAGACCTCCTATGTATAACAGCCTCTCCCAACTACAGTAGTTCTGTGCCGAGTGGCCAGAAGCATTTCTGAAACATGAAAGGCTGATTAGATTACTCTGAAGGAAAAAAAAATATAGAGAAAGGAATATACAGCAGGGCATGGCTCCATTTCTCAAAGTCATAACAGCTACCCCTCCAGTATTACTTAGTCAGCCCTTGTTGCTGGGTTAGGTCCTTTTGTCAAGAAAGATTAAGAAGTTATGGACACTCAACAGAAAATATAACCTTTTTTCTTTCTGAAAGGATGTAATATACATAACACTACAGGACACTTGCCTGTATAGTGTCCCCCTTGCATGGTGCCGTGATGATTGCAGACAGCATACAGGTCATAGATGTAGTCCTCAGGATCCCTTCCGAGACCATAAGGTCGCCTCCAGGGTGACCAGTGAGATGGCAGACTCCAGCTGCTCTGGCTGCGTTTAACAACATGAGGAGTCATGTCCAAACCACTCAAGGGGAATTTAACCATGTTCTGAAGTTTCATCCTTCGGTCTCCTTCCTGCATGAAACAGAGGACAGCACGAGCTGCAGTGGCAGTGAGCCCACCATGCCTGGGGAAAACAAAACCCAGGAGAGGAATGCATAGGGCAGAAGAGTTCCTTCTGAAGAGATGGTCTAGTCAGGTCAATCCCTGGCTGAGAAGCCATCCTCCAGCAGCACTGCAGACATCCTTACCTGCCTAAACCTTTTGAGATGTATGATGAGAACATCAGGCAAGGTCCAGAGGCTCAGTGTGATGCTACCCTGCTGCAGCTGCTTGCAGTGGGGGCATCGCCATGCATCATCTGGGGCAAGCTACAAGGAAGAGGCATGAGTGGGTATTAGTTTCCAAATTCTCAGGCAGTTTTCACTACAGCACTGTTCCTCTGCTGACCCAGGCCCAGTGCAGACACTGACCCATGCACTCCATCTGCCTCCAGCATTGACCAAGCTCATTGGAAGTGCAGGGTTCCCAATGATGCTTTTCAAAATAGTGACAGGCAGAGACACACTTGTACCTCATGCAGGAGGCACTTCCCACTGCAAGACAGAATTCAGATAGTGCTGCTGTGCAGAGAAACAATTTCCACCTTATGAACTCCCAAACCCTTTGAAGTGGGGAAGAAAAAACAACGACAAAAACCAGACAGGCTTGGCAGTCTGAGTAAAAGTATTCTCATAAGAAAACCAGTAGCAAAGAAAGAATCAGAACAAAAAGATTGGTGTACTTTAAATTTTATCTCTGACACCTTGCTGCCCTCTGGAAACCCACTTCCTTCCAACATCCCAGTGGCACAGAGTTACAAACTGCAGAGATTTTCACTGTCCACCATACACTTCCCTCCAAAGCCCAGTGCTCAGAAAACTCAGAAGCCAGAGAGCTTTAAGAGCTTTAAGCTGTCAAACAACTTTTCTCTCACCTCTGAAAGAAGCAACAAGAGAGGCTCCAAAATTACTAAAGCTCAATCGTGGGTCTGCAGTCCAGCTCTAGGAGCTTCCCTTTTTACAGCAGATAAGAGACCTCTGGCAAAGAAATGCAGATTGCTCACATGTTCCAGGCAAGGTCCAGATCAGAGCCATCTCTAGTCTGCCCTGTGGCACATCATTGCTCCTGCCACTCCAACCTCCTCACACCACGAGCTGAGCTAGAGGACGAGAGTGGCCACAATTCTGGAGAACTAAGTTCAACATTCACTGCGCTGCCGTGGGGCTCCCACTCTGTGGGAGTTGCCTTGATCCCACTCCCTGCTCAGGCTTGGAAACACACAACTGCTCCAAGACAGAGCAGCAAATTCCCATGAAGAAGCCACACTGTTCTAACTCTTTCTAATGTATGCCAGAAAGACATGGCTACTTCACAGGAAGGAAACTGCAGAACAGAAGAGTAAGTTCTCATATCAACATCTGGGGGGCAAAAAACCCAAAAGCAGTCTATCTCCCACAACCTTCTCCTCACTACAGAGAAACTTAGCAGGACTGGTTACTAGTGTTGTGGTACAAATTTATTCTCCTGTCTCAACAAATCAGTGTTTTCAGAAGACAGTTACTCTGCTGAGTATGGGAATTCAGGTAGCATGTGGCCCAGCCAGACCTTCCAAGTCTTGGCTGCTATCCAGTCTTGTCCCTACCTGTTCCTCTTTGGTGTACAGTTGGAAACACTGAGATAAAGTGCAGGTCTGAGGTTGATGATGAAGCTCTCTCTGCTGGCGGACACTTTCCGAGTCTGGAATATACTCCTCTTCCATATTCACAAACAAGCTGCATCAGGGAGACAACGCATTTACCAGCACAGCCCCCCACTCCCCACACTGCTGAGGAGCCATCCTGAAGGTACAACCAGCAGCTCTTCCCTGGATTTGTCCCACTGCACGTGAGCAAGAGCTGACTGGCAAAAGATCCTGCCAGGGAAACACAACTGAACACAGGGGTGAGCAGCTTCAGTGGACACCCACTCCAGTTTACGTCAGGCAGCAAAAGCTACTCACTGCCCACAAGTGTTCTCACATGAATATGATTAGTGGGGGAAGGAATCACAGGCAAGACGCCTGCTCCATAACACAAAACCCTGGCTACAGAGGAAAGGACTCCAACTCGGAGCAGGTCTAGGGCACCCAGTCCCAGTCTGTCTCTGTGGACAGTGGCCAGGGCATGGGGTGGAGTTTCTGAGGGGTCTCATGTTTGCTGAAGGGTGCACAATTCACACACAGCCACGCTGGCCGCAAGCACTGCTCAACACATTTTAAAGTTTTCTACTTCATACTTACTAATCTTTAGTTTCCTTGTCCCATTCTACCACTAATTTCACATGAGCAGTTCCCCCCTGTCCACATGACTTCAACGCCCTGCAGAGAGGAGCAGACAGAAGTTAGACCATCTTTCAGTCTGAAGCCTACGTTATCTTTTACACACAACTCGAGAGCTCCACACTAGCCCATCACCCTCCCTCCACTGCCATACAGCTCAAGTTTGCAAAGGAGTAAAAGGAATTCATACAGCAAAGAACATGGCAAAGTCAGCCAGCTGCCTTTATTAAAGTACAGTAGTTTGGTAAATAAATGTACACTTATTTACAGAACAGGCATCTACAAAAATTTCTGGAGAATAACAGTCACTAAAAAAAATACAAAACCAGAGGGAGTAATACTTTCATTCTCTTCTCCATTTCAGAGGAGGACAGACTCCAGATGGTATGACACACAACTGAGCAATCCTCACACAGCTTCTTGAGGACACTCAGTCATTGCCCTGCTCCTCAGGCCTGTGAATTCTGTCCCACACATCCACACCATGACTGTCCCTTTCTGCATGCCTACACACCGATTTCCCAGCTGACAAACCCCTCTCTGCTCCTGGGAACAAGGACCAACTCACCTTTCCACTGTTGGATGGCAGAGGGGTCGCTCCTCCTGAGGTAGCAAGTACGTTATGCCAACAACACTGACCACTCGCAAGCTGAACGGGCAAACCTGCAACAAGGAGAGTAGAAGCCATCTCAGTGACTCAAACCCAGCTTCCCTACGTGCAAACCTGCTCTCAGCACGAGCTGACATGTAGTTTATCCTAGAACGTGTGTTTTACATGAGAAAGCAAATGCACAAGGTCTCAAATATGCTTATGCCAAGTAGCTAACAGAGGGGTGAGGTACAGCAACTGAGGCTTCATACCCAGGAACTGCTCTACGGTGACCAAAGACACCCCTCTTCACCTCTCTGCTCTCAGAGAGGGCTCTCATCAGAAACACACAGTCACTAAGCAAACGTTTCAGCTTTTCTTTTAGGCAAATACCACCCATCAGTGGATTTCCAGTGTAGAAAGCAGCACTGCTCTCTCGAGTACTTCTTGTGAGCAAGGAAGAAAGCGAAGCATGCCACTTCTTCACTTGGTCAGTCTAAGCTTACCTGTATCTCTCAGCAAGTAGCAGACAACAGCACCAAAGAGGTGGAATATCACACTGGGACATTATTGTACAAAGAAATATTGGGAAGCCAACAGCATGTCCAGCATATTTATCACTCCAAGGAACTGGCTTCACCTTTAGTTCATGTCACACAGAGCTGGAAATCTCAGATGAACCATCAGAGATTTCAACTCTGTTGGATCTGTCAACCAACAGATGAACCATTTGCCTCACCTGCATGCAGGCTGCGGGCCGCAGGAAATACTGCATCTTCTCCAGAATTTCCTTCTGCAGAATATCCCAAGCAATTGTTTTTTCCAAATGCAACACAAAGGGCAAGCCAAACCTACAGGAAGGAGCAACATTTGAGGGAACAATTAAAAGATTATTCTGTTCAGCAACAGGACTCCCAAACTCTGACAGTGCCGCTCTCCTCACTCAGTGCCTACAGAGCTTGGCGTGCTTTGGGTGAAACTCCCCAGAAACCAGGCATTTAAAAACCTGTCTCCAGAGGAGAGGTGCTAACTTTGAGGAAATGCTGTTACAGCTGCCCATGCAGAGGGCCCTTGTTAAGGGGCTGCAGCCCTACTCTGTGCTCAGCTTGCTTCAGGCTGCAGAGCTCTGCAGCCGTTATCTGGCTGGGATAACTTCTTGTGAAACAAACTTCAGTGGCTGAGAAAGTCCTCAGTCCGTGGTTGGTACAAATGCCTTTGCCATGGTTGTTTCTCACTTCTCCCCGCTGTTTCCACTCCAATTAAACATTTCCACACACCACAGGATCTGGTCAGACATGCTTGCTGCTCTCTGAAACTAGATAGCTCTATAGAGAGGTGGTACCTCCTTCCAACTGGTCTGCATTCACCACGTGCCAGTAACACGGAACTATTTGAAGTTCACCAAAATTAGGAATATTTTGCTGCATTCATTAATGTTTTTTGATCAACATGTTCTTTAGCACCTAATGCAAAGTATGAACACAAGCTGTCACTCCTTCATCCTGTGTTTCCACTACATGGTAAGTAAAACCCAGGTCAATTAAGGAAGCAGCCAGAAGAGCAACTCTGACTGTGAAGCTGCCAGTCACCTTTTGCTCTGCTGTCCAGTGCACGCTCTGTTACACACCAGCAAGACAATCTTGTCATTTGCTGCTGGTTTAGTAGAGGACTGTTCCAGTTTTCCAGACTTCACTGTTCCTTGAGAGTAAGATATTGTTCGGGAGTGCTCAGTGCCACATTTCAAGTTATTCAGGTTATTGTTCACATGTATTCCTGAAAAATTAGGAGAAAGGAAACATTTTGTTATGTCATTTGCCTTTATTGCCCTGATGCCCCCTCAAGACACCCTCCTTCAGCTGCAGAGCAGCATGTCGCTATGGAATCAAGACCATTTTTATCACTTGTATGAAGGCTTCAAAGAGCAGTTACTTTTCATAGTGACTATTTCTTTACAGAAAGAAATTATACACAAGTGGTCACCCAAGTGATTTTTCACAGCAATCTGTACAAACACTCATAGCTTCGTCTGCCCACAAGAAAAGCTAGTGACAGAAATCCTACTTGTTACTTCTAATAACACAATTTGCCTTTGATTACACTCTTATGCAATTACTCCTTCTCACTGAGGGAGATGCAGAGAAGCTAAAGTTTTTAGGCTTTGAGAGAGAAAGTGTTTGTTCATTCCTGAGACTTGTTTATTCATCACTGGCAATCTGATTTTAAATAACACAATTTCAGTGGCTTCATCTGGTCCCTGGCAGGTCTTTAAATTAAGCCTGACAACAGATTTCACGTTAAGCCAGCCTGGCCTGCAGAATCAGCCCTGGGAAAAGGAAGAAATGAGTGTGCATTGCTTCTTGATAACCTCCCAGCTGACAACACCACTATGTCTGCGGGAATGAGTCTGGACAAAGTCAGAGTTGAAATCAATACAGCAGAACATCAGCTACTTGTGGGACTTCTATTTTCAAGTATCCTTTTCCAAAATAAGCCTCCCTCACCTAGTCACCCAAGGTGGGCATTATGCAGAGTTATTGACTTACCTCTCTGACTCAGGATACCCTCGGGCCTAAATATCTCTGGGGTCTCAAAGGCAAAAATGCAGTCGCTTTCATGAATGGTGTCCAGGTCATCAGTATCGCAGAAGGAACGGTGAAACCCATCATAGTACATCTCCGTCAGCACGATCTAGAGCCAGCAGAAGTCAACCAGAACCCGTTAACCTACCCATGCCTGGTCCAGCTGAGCTGCCCCATCTCTCAACAGGGATGCTAAGGGATGGCATTCCTCAAAACATCCTGGGATCAGCCAGAGCAAGAAACAGGGAAAAGGACTGCCGTGAAAGAGAAGCTGGTACAAAGGCAGCACGTGGAGAGCTTTTGGTGGGATCTGACAGCTTTCCTGAAGCTCTTCCTACAGAGGAATTCCCCACAGGTGCCCAGCAGTTCCCTCACTGCCAGCACACACGAATCACCATGGGATCAGGGAGAAGGTCTGCAGACTCCACTGATGGCTATTCCAACATTTCAAAAAGCCAGCACACCGGGAAAAGCACAATCCACTGCCCTGCTTCCCCCACTCAACCACAGGCAGCGAATTTCGATTCCTACATATCCAGCATGGGATGAAAGCCTCCACACTGAAGGGAGGACACATGGGTGATGAGACCAGGCCATTACCTGCTCCGTGGGTATCTTGGTCTCTGAGGAGATGGCCTCCCGCAGCCTGGCCACCGTTCCAGAGATGGGCACCGCCACCCCGATCCGCATGCAGTGAGAGCACTTCCCCCGGTACACCACGGTGACGTAGAGGGGCCTGTGGAGAGCACGGGAGGCACTGCTGGGGCTGGGCTGAGCGCTGCCTGGCAGTGCCTTCAACAGAGCCAGCCCAGCCTGGGTCCAGCCAGGCTGTATGCAAGTGACAGGGACATCTCGGCAGTCCAGATCCACCTCACACTGGAGTTACACTTGGCCACAGCCAGACAAATGTTTGATTTCCAAAGACTCCTTTCTTACTACAAGGACTGGTGTTACTTGCTCCCACAAGCAGAAAGTCTTCTCAAAAAAGCCCCACAAAGTTAAAAGTAAAGCTCTCTCTGACAAGGCAATCATAATTTTTCAACCAGGATCCTGTAACCCAGCTTAGGACAGACTGAGGCAGCACCTGAAAGCACTGGGTGAGAGCTGCTGCTGGGAACAGCCGCCCCAGGCTGTCTCACAACGCTCGCTCCTGCCGCCAAGAGCAGCCAGCAGTACGGCCACAGGAAGAGAGGAGTGGGGCAGCCAGCCTGGCAGGGATACCTTGGAAAGCCCCCCCAGAGGTGGAGCAGGGACTTCTGAACCAAATGTCACATTCTCATATTTCACAAGTTGTTCAATTACTTTGTTCCATTGTTTCTTGAACCCACACAGATCTTCTGCATTCAGAACTTCAAGTGAAGGAGTTGCACAGCAAAACTACCCACTGGATAAATAAGCAATCTCTGTCTTTGCTCTGAACTTTTTATCTGGACTTTTTTTTTCCCTCACAGGAGGAGCTTTTTTCCTTATTGGCAACAGCTATCTTTAAAAAAAAAAAAACAAAAAAAACCCAAAAAACCCCCCACATTTTGCAGGAAAGTTTCTAACTTCAATTTTTGAAATTGTATTATTAGTGAGACTGTTCTAAAGAAAGTAAAAAAAAAAGTGTTTCATCCTTTTCCCCATTTTAATTTTAAAATGCTATAAATTAAGTCAAAGGCAAAGTATTTGGTAACCTGAATCAAAGATTTATTTTTTTTTCCTTCCAAAAATTAATTCTATAAGAAGTTAAGGGTGGGGGTGGAGGGCCATTCTGAAACAAGTAAAAGGTTCAATTTTCCAATTTACCTGCAAAGCAAAAAATTAAAGCCCCAAATGTTCCTATCTATCTTTTTTAAAGACTTATCAGAGATATTTTTGCTGACATCTCCCTTCTGCAGCAAATTAAACATGATGTGCACAGGGAACAGCCAGCGTTGAGCTCAAGACAGTTACATACCGTGTATGAGGCAAAGGAATCGGCAGAGAGATGCAGAGAAAAGGGTCAAAGGTGTTGCTCTGCTTCTGGCAATGAGGGCACGTCAGAGAGGACCTAGTGCAAACATCAGTAATAGGACAGTGTCAGACCTCATTTCATCAGGAATGGATAAATCATCAGCTCACAAATACCAGCCCTTGCACATCGACCTGCCTGCCCCTGTCTACTCTTCCTTCTCCAGACAGAGTTGCTGTAAACAACGGGCTCCCGATTTCTAGATCCTTTATTAGTCTCCAAGTTCATCACAGGGCATGACTTCACTCCAGCCACTAAATTTGTCTTTTAACAAACATCACTGCAAAATTAATAATTCACCAACAGTAGCTCCAACAGGGAAGACCTGAAAGGGTTTTCTCTTTCAAGAGAGGGGAAGTGACGGGAAACAGAGAGCACCAGTCAGCACTGCAGGTGTGCAGAGCTCTCCCTCAGCAGGGAAAAACTCCAGACAATACATCTCTCACTCAGAATCAACCTGCACCTTACACTGCTTTCATGTTCTATACCAGCCTTAAGGTTTCTTCTCTGCAAAGAAAACCTTGGCAAATACCGGGCTGAAAGCCCAGCAATTAATATTCTTACAGCAGCACAGACACAAGCCATCGAAGAGCGCTGGAAATTAGGCTGTTTCCTTGTATTACTTCTAAAAATCAGAAAGCTCCCTTCCCAGGAAGTATGGGAAACTCATGGGAAAAGCCTGAAGGGAAAGTGAATTATTCAGCTCAGAATTCCCAAGTGCCAGCAAACAGGAACTCTGCAAGATGCCTGGGACCCGTAAGTCCCCAGCAGCCTCCAGCCACCTCCAGGTCCTGCCACAGGCTCTTGCCTCTGAGCAGCCAGAGTGAGCCTCACAGCACCGAGCTCTCCCGAGACTGCTCCACTGAGCACTGACTTGTCTTCAGGTGCATCAGGGCAGGTGAAGAGGTGGTACATACCGTAGATTTCACAGAATATACTAAATATGAAGTAGTGAAATTCTCTTCCTCCTCTAGAGTGAGATCTTAGTTCAGATTTCATTCAGCCGGAATTCAGAAACAGCTGTTACTGTGACACCAGTTTCAACTGTACTGGGAGCTAGCATCAGGGCAGAATTTTACTGGGGTCACCAATACATGCAATAATGCCTCAAAATTTACAAAATATCATACCTGTACTGGGCTTGAAAGAGTTCCTGCACAAAAGTACTACTGATTGGAAAGGCTGGTCCCTCAAGCAGCACATCATCCTCCAGCGGTGGCTAAAAGAGAAGAACAAGCCCTAGAAGCACATCCAGGCACGGAGGAGCACCACGCCAGATGGCTCCGGTACTCCTAGTTGGATTTGTGCCCTCCTTGCCCAAAACCACCAGAAAAATGCCACAAGATTTTATAGTAACAAGTGGTATCTGCTCACACAGGTGGCTGTGCAGGAAAGTGAGGCCTGGGCAGCCAAGGGAAGGCAGGGATCTCACACCAGATGATGTGTCTGGTGGTCCCTCCCCTGTAAAGCCTCCCAGCTCCTGCAGAGCAGTATGTGCCTATTCACAAATGATTCTGTTGGGGAGCACTTGCCAGGGATTAGTGAAACGGCTGTTTATGTTCACAGGGCCAGAAACAAACAGCATCCTGACCCAAGCTTTTGCTCCATATGAGCTATCAGAGTTGAGAAGCCAACACGGAGATCTAATTTAAAAAGAAAGACTGTATGCAAAGTTACAGCTACGCTCCCAGGCTGGCTCCCAGCAAACCCCTTACCTTGAGCGGAGGCATGCCGCTGGAATTCACTGCGTTGTTCAGATCCTCGTGGACTCTGTCCAGGAGCCAAAGCAGGAACTCCTGCGCGTCGTGCTGGGCATTCCCGCGGTACTGCATAGCGTTCTTGGACACGATGTTCTGCAGAGGGACAGAGACAGCACACAGTGAAAGCACAAGAACCGAGCTCTTCCCTTGGCCAAGCCCTCGGAGTCAGACAGGCCCAGCTGACAGCACCCACAAAACCAGGGGCTGCCCCGTCCTCCCCACAACCTGAGTTCAAGCAGCAGCTGGTGCCTTGCTGGGCAGAGAAACTGCCACCGGCGCTCCGGACAGACCCGGGGGTTGCCACAGTGGTTATGGAAAAACTGGAGCTTTGTTTAAGCAGAAACATTCCCAACAAACTCAGGGTTCAATTCAGATGAGATGAACACCACAACCATCAGCCTACAGTACTTTCATACAAGTCAAGAGCAAGGCAAGCTCAACCCACTGAGCAAACTCCAGACAAGGGAGGGCTCAGGCAGTCACGGGTGTGATGTGCACAACTGGCACTACTTTGGATACACGCCAAGAGCCTGGGGAGTGCATCTCATTTACTCCTGAATTTCCAGAAAAGCCATCTCAGAAGGACACGAGCACACTCAAGGGATTTGCTCAAACCTCTTTTTCTTCCAGACACAAATAGGAAGGGCTTGAAGCTCACCAGCAACCAAAAGCTGCACTTTGCAGATCTATCCTTGCCCTGTAGCTCTGGGGACACCTTCCACAACGTCCAAGTTTGCACTGAGCCCTCCAGCCGGGCCACGTGTGCCCCTCAGGACATCACCTCCTCCTCGAAAAGCCAATGGGAGCCCACACCAGCATTTACTAGGACAATGGTCCTTCCTCACCAACATCAGCAAACGCTTTCTCTGCTCCAGCTCTCTGATCTCACTTCTACCTCCACACTACCACCTGAAGAGCTGGCCAGCACTCACAGCTGTGCACCAGGGGACATGGCACAG